CCGTTGGTTGGTGATTGGCTGATGGTTACACAAGTGGCCAAAATCTGATCAGCTCATTTTCAGACAGGTTTTTATATAAATGGATCTGGACAAAAAGAGAGTGAATCTTTTTTCCTGAGACTTTCAGAATCTCTTTACACAGAGGGGACACATGTTTATGTATACAAGACATGAACAAGTGGATTTTGCATAATAGGTGACATTTAAATCTGCTGTCTTTTAGGTTTAGACGGAAGGCAAGTCTGCGATCACGACCAGTACGGGTAGTCACTGGGATGGAGAGCCAGATTGCCCTCACTGTATTAGCTGAGAAACTGAAGAAGGAGGTCCAAAGGAAGGATGCCCTTAACACACCCCTGTCTGTCCGCACAGAAGGGCGCACAGGGGGCATTTGCATCACATCTGCTTCACAGCCGTCCCCCACACCCAGCAACGAAAGCACTGACACGGCCTCTGAGATTGGCAGCGCCTTCAACTCCCCGCTGCGCTCACCCGCTCGCTCCCAGGCTGCCACGCGCCCATCAAGTCCAGTCGCATCCCATCTGTCTCGTGTGCTGTTCGGAGAAGATGAGATGCTGAGGCTAGACTCCAGACACAACCGCGCTGTGAGAGAGCTGGGTCCCTCTGTCAGCGCTGCTCTGCTACAGCTGCAGGAGGACGGAGTCATCTTCGCTCTCCCTCCATCTGGTGAGTACAAGAGGTCGTTACTGTCGCCTGTGTTATTTACAAAGGTGCTCTAACAGCCTCTGCTGAAGTCAGCGTTTTAGTCTATCACTTGATATTTATGGTACAGTCGGAGCATATCAATCATTTAAGACAATAGAAGTGAACAGTTTGGGGTGGCCTTAAAGGGAGAATGTGCCATTTATTTTGTGGATGTCCAGTCAGAGTTAATGGGGAATGTTGTCAATTGAAGCAATTCATTCCTCAGTGAGTTTTGACAGAGGACGCTGAGTTCTCCAGCTCCAGGAGCAGCTGGTACATGTCCTGCCTCCATGTACCAGGATGCATTGTCCTCGAGATTCAGATGCCATGAGCTTCCCTGTCAGCCTTGTCCTCTCGCACAGCTATTGTCAAGCAGCTTCTGTAACGCTCCACTTTATTTCTACCGCCATTTATACTCTGTCTCAAATGAAGAACATTGAATATCTTCGGCAGCTAAACATCGTTGATCATGTCCTCCTCTGAACTCATATTCTGGGATGCTACCTGCTACAAATCCATGAGAAACAATCAAATGTAACGGCTCATACGTTTTTGAGGAATACAAAGAAAAACATGATGAAATAGCTTGCCATTCTTCTTTGCATTCAACTATGTCACTGTCTCGTCAAATGCTGACTCTGAATTCAACTAAAAATTGTGAAGCTGCCAACTCTACTTTCTCCTCACACCATGAGAAATGTATTGCTTTGATCAACTCTTTATTATCAATAACGATTAGGCACAAAATCGATACATTATCACTTATTATCGGTATAACATACCTTACTTTTATTTAGAAATAATCTGCTTACTTGACTTGAATTGCTGTCTGTCTGTGCAGCAGATCTGGCTTCTGATGGAACAAAGCGGCCTTGCACCCCTGAGAAGATAAAAGACAAAGTAAAAGCAGAGCTCTCAGCCGGAGACAAGGAAGGAGATGAGGGATCGTCTGTGGTGGTGAAGGAAGAGGGGAGCAAAGATGGAGCAGATGTAAAGCCTAGCAAGGAGAAGCTCAACGCTGCGGAAATAGCTGCAGACAGCAAGCCCCCTGGGGATAAGTACTCTCCTAAAGTAAGTCCTGTACTGTTATGATGCACTGTAGTATGTACCTGGCACACTCTCACATATTTGCTTCTACTGCCAATTAGGCAGCTGTTTCTAAGGCGGTATACTGGAAATATTTAAGAAACAAACATTGTAGTTTATCTTATTCTGTCTCTTGCAGGAGTTGCTTGCACTGCTCAAGTGTGTGGAGGCTGACATTGCCAACTATGAGGTATATCTAAAGGAGGAAGTAGAAAAGAGAAAGAAATACAAAGTAGGTTTTGATTACCTGAAACAAATCCAATGTATTTGGTGAGATGTTATTTTAATTGGCTTTTAATTCAAATGTTTTGTTTTCATTGATCAGATTGATGATCAAAGGAGGACCCATAATTACGATGAGTTCATCTGCACCTTTATATCAATGCTGGCCCAAGAAGGTAAGTCTCATTGTTCTTATTTTCTTCACTCTTTCTCAGCGTTAGCTGCTTACAGCTTGGCTACAACACACAAGCTGACAACTGGGATCAAACTTAAAAACTCTCCATGTTATAGTGGGAAAATGTAACACAGGAATTCACTGGAAACCTAAACAACCTTTCGGGAAACTGCATGCATCATTAGCAGTATTTTACAAAACGAACAGTACAAAACTGTCCAATGGAAGTCTAACCTTCCTGTTAATGCTGATGAATGGCACATTTAAATGGCTAGTAGTGTTCAGTGGAGTGTAAACAGTGGATCAAAGGTATGAAACTGAACAGAACATCAAACTTTAAAAAAAAAAAAAAAACTGTCCTGACGCATACGCTTCACAACAATTACTGTTAACGCAGGGGACAGTGCCGATATGCTAATGAATGTACAACGTCATTTGGCGAATTTGAGCAAATTCCGGTGCTATTAATAACTACCTTTACTGTAAAAGAGCTGTTTTCCATGTTGTTTTGCCACAAGGCTTTGTTACCGTTGTGAGACATCATTTAAGTGTGAAAGTGAGGCTTACAGTGAACCAATCTAAACGCAAATGGTGGTGCTATCTATTGCCACATTGTCCAATCAACATGCACTTCATAATAATAAGTTAAAGAAAAAAACTTCTATTGCAACTTTAGGATTCTGAGTGTTAACATGCATTTATCCACCTGAAATACATACAGGGACACATTTACAAATACATGTATATGTGTTGTTCTGCTTAAAAGGAAAACATTGATGTTACAACACACAGGTACATGTCCCTTCCAAATAGAAAATAGAGAACACTACAAATAAATCACATTTTTAACCACCAGACATATGCAAACCTTAGTTAAATGCTCAAATCTGTTGTTGTGTTTGCATTTGTATCATTTCTTGGCTCATTCATTCATTCTGACTGGGTATCTTCTTCAGGCATGTTGGCCAGCCTTGTGGAGCAAAACATCTCTGTGCGTCGACGGCAGGGAGTGAGTATTGGCCGCTTGCACAAACAGAGGAAGCCTGATCGCAGGAAACGCTCCCGACCGTACAAAGCCAAGCGCCAATAACTACAAACAATCATAACTTCTATAAGAAATTTTCTCTGTGAGCAATCACCCCAGAGAAAATGAAATTGTTGCCCTCCTGAAACTCTCATAAAGGCCGTCTAGTGTTGTATTTTAGCCAGAACCTCATCTTCTTCATCAAATCGACCATGTTACCAAGGTCAGTTATTTTATAATTTATGTATATACTGTATGTACTACCATTTTAATCTCAATGTAAATGTTCTTCTTCTTGTGCCACTGCTTTTGACACTTGTAAATATGATAAAAGGCATGTTCCCAATGGGGCATCTGAATGCTTTTTTATCCATTGTTATTGGAAGATGATCTCCAAAGTCCTCAAATCTGCACAACTTATCATTATTACAATTTGGTAAAAAATAAGACGATATTTCCTAAACTTTATGCCATACTAGATTTCTTTATGGTGCCAATAATGTACTGAATGTTTTGAAAGAAAAAGGCCATGTGTTATCCATCCCTAGCATTTCAGTTATAATGTCCTCCCTGTTGGTAATTTACTATACAACATAAAAAGCATATTTTTTATCACTTGTTTCATGGAGAATTTTTAAACTGAAGAAGACGTCATGATGCATTAAGGTTTATTCTTTTCATCGGAATGTCCTTTAAACTGAGGCTTTCTAGCCGTGTATGAACATCTCTAGAGGTCCTGTGAATGAAAAAGAAGCTATTGTTATTTTTGTACCAGAAATGGGAACTCAAAGTGAGTGAATAGAAGTTGAATGTGTGCACTTGTGTGTTTTTGTACATATGTATCTGTTAATTGGCTCACCTCTGAGGTCAGTTGTTCTTTGTGCTTGCGAGTTCATACTAAAATAAAGTCAACGAAAATATCTTGCTATAATCCAGATTTCTTTTTTTGAAGTGATAATGACTACAATGGTTGAAATGTATATTTGTAGTGAATGTATTGTAGGATTCCACCTAATAGTAAAACATGTCACTGTACAAAGATATAACTACATTTATCTAGGAGGTTAGCTAGACTATAGCTTTATTAAACCTGAGTAAAATGTTTTATTGTAGTGACAGTTGGTGTACACTAGGGAGAGCAGTCATTCAGTGACCATCATTACGCTGTAAAGAGCCTTTCACAATAAAATTGACTTTTTCTGCAAAGGTCTTGTCATTTGGCACCATGGCTGTAATGTACATGTGTATTTTGATGTAAATATTGTAGTATTGTAAGTGTTTTTGGAATAATGTTTTGCATTTAAATATTCAGTTTGGTATCGTATAAGATTAAGAAAACCAGCAATAGGTCTATTACATTTCCGTGGTTCAACCTATTGGCCTTTTTGCTTAAATGACAAACGATTATTTGTAATTGATTACCAAAATAATTGTTTATTCATTGTCTGTCAGTTGACTTATCGATTCAATTTATCGATTTAAAAAAAAAAAAGATCAGTAGTGTGCAAATAATGTAGGCTACGCTGTGGACCTTTTTCTTTACAGAAAATGCTAAATATATACAAACGAGATAAAGGATTATCCCATTTCAAAACACGCAGTAACGATGTATGATGTTTCTGTCGCTTAGGTTACAAAACAAATGGTCCATATGAGGGAAAGACCCGGGTTAAATCGGGGAGGTCCCAGTGGTCTCTCTAGTCATGTGCCATAGAGCGACTCAGAGGTATTTGCGTGGTGACTTGAGATAACCGAGCGTCGTGAACGCGCACGTACGAGCCTCTCAAGTTCCCACCCATTGCGTCAGCGCGCTCCCTCGCTCTCTCCGTCAGTGCGCGTGCTCCGTGCGGGATGCTGAATTGTAGGTGATGATGGCGGAAGGGGAGCAGCGCTGAGTTTCATCTGAGTTTCCACCACAGCTGTAGAACCGTCTACAACATCGTTTCTCTCCGTCGAGACCTATCCCGAGGCGATGGGGAACGAGGCCAGTATGGAAGGGGAGGGACAGGCGGGACAGCCCGGCCCCGCCGTGCCTGCAGCAGGGGCTCCGGCTTCCATTTCAGCACCACCGGACTCTGGACAGCTCATCAAACCGAGCAATGGAGCGCCAGCCGGAGGAAGTGGGGCTGCACCCGGCCCGGGGATTAACAGGTAGCCACGATAGCTAGGACTCTTCTCCGGCAAACTGTGGAGAGAAATCAGGGAGGCTACTGTGCAGTGTACGGTGCATCGGTACGGTGTGGAGTGTTCATAGGCTATAGGATCAGCCGACAGCGTTCAGATAGACGTGAATGGGTGCTTAATTATTTATTTCTATATCCCTGTCAACACAATTCACCAACCCCCTTTGGAGACCCGTTTCTGCTTTTTGGCAGCAGCACCACCCTATTACTCAACGTTAATTTGGGTCGAAGTCAAATTTAGTATGCAACGCTTTCGATGTAGAATCAATCATTCGTAAATATAGCGTTCAATAGGAATTTTTACGCCCGTTTTCACGGTGTCTGTCCTCAGGCATCAGTGGCTAAGTATCATTACTGAATGAGCGACATTTTTCTCCTCATAGCGATCAAGTAGCCTAAATATGAGTATTTCGGAATCGATCTGAAAAGATATGCCCCCCATAGTTTCACGTGATACATTAGAAATGTAAATGATTCAAAGTGCTCTTGATCTCTCACGTTGAATGCCTCACTCGCCTCTACTACATGTTAATTTCCTGAACTTGCCTCGACATGAAAACCAGTAAATACAGAGTCATCCTAGGAAATTACCTTTCTGACGTTTTGTAGGGTGAAAGTGCTACCATCAGACAGCGTCATTACAGGACTGTAACGCATAGCTGCCTCATTCATTCATCAGTACTCAAATCAAATCAATATGCAGCAGCTAGTGGAAATTGTTTCTCACCACTATACAGCACAGAAAGAGGGAGATTTCTGCTAAAACAGTGCCGTTGCATCCCTCTGAGGAATCCAGACACTGAGCCCAGACATATTAACATTTATCAGTGACTTGAGTGACAATATTTCCGTTATGTTTGCAGTTAAATGTAAAAACTCCTCAATTTTCCTATTACAAGACAATCAGAATAACTTCAACGCAAATCCAACCCATATGATCAGTTTAATCACACATAGTAGCCTGTCTGTATTGTGTGTGTGTGTGTGTAGTGGGGGGGGTTATATTGCCTTAATCTACAGTTCAACAGCTGTAGACCTTTATACACATCAGACACACAGCTGCGTCTTGGATTTGCCACACCTGCATACAGTCTCTCACTTCTTACCATTTTTAACCTTCCATCCAAGGCGCATGGGTACATTTCTTCATGCTACAAACCTACATCCAAGGCTAAAATTCAAAAAAATCTATCCTGCCTGATTTATGTCGTTAAATTACAAAGTGATTGTAATATACAATGTGGAGCTGTTCGGATGTTCAGCTACTGTAAAATTGTAAACCAATAATAATGTTTAGCTTTGTCTATGTAAAAAAGCACTCAGTTTATCCACTAAGAAGCAGGTTTAATTTCTCTGTCATATCTTGATTTCTTGATTAAGACGGTTAGAGAGTGAGAGAGAGACAGTATATCATGTGGCTGATGGAAATAGGTTTCCTAAGATCAGGGCCCCCACACACCGTCTGAATCTTCCCCTACAAAGAACTTGCGAGTGTGAGAAACAATGAGACGGCGGCAGTGCTGAGACTGTAGATATGAGACTTTCATCTTAATTAAAATGAGTTGCTGCATTTTATGAATGTGCCTATTAATATGAATGAGGACATAATATGCTATATATATCCATACTCAGAAGTGGTTTCCCTATAGGCAGTTCTATAGGATATTTTATTCATGGCAGTCAAAGAGCTAAATCTGAGCCCATATGGGACTCGATCAAGCAAAGAAAGTCACCATAGCCTTCTCCTCCACAAAGCAATGCAATGTTTATTTATTATATAACCATAATAGCTTTGACAACATCCTCAACTGATGACCATAACTGACGAACATTCAGAATTGCAAGAAATAATGAATTGTGTTGAACGCAGCTCCAAACATTTCCTATGTTTTCAACAAGCTAGAAAATGAGCCACTTCTACATTATTGTCTCATTGTTTCCTATCTAACAACCAAATTAGTGAAGCGCGGTACATCCACCATCATGTACTTTATATTACAAAGTGCTAAAAGCTACTTCATGCAGTCTTTCCAAACAATTTAAATCATCAAGTCATGAAAATCGATATAAATCAAAAGTCCATTACAAACCTGAAAAAAGCTGTAGTTCATACAACCCATGAAAATGATGATACTGTCATGCTCTGAGACACAGTGAGCAAACAGTATGCCCTCATGATTAATTTAGCTTCAGCAATGAGAGCATTGTGCACTAGGTAGCCAACACATAGCAAATGGTTATGACAACAAATAATGCAGAACCAGATCTTATTATTTATGAGGTTATGACAGCCCTAGGATACAGAAAGATAAATGACTACCTATGAGACATTGGCAGTGTAGCATTACTGTCAAGATGTCTAAAGATTGACACTTTAATTTAATAGGAAAATGCCTGTTAAAGCTTAATTATTCTTTCAATGCATGTTACATGTTGGGATTTTAGTGGAAAACAGCTGGAGTTTTGTGTCACAGTGACTACAAATGCTTCAAATTGTTCTGCTTTTATTGAATGTGTATATTTGATATGTAAGCTGAACCAGTGCAACATACTTCCACCGTGTGTTTTATCATCTCAGACTAGATGGTCCATTCCAGTACCAGTACTAAACCATGGCTAAATATGAACTCTGCTCCGCTCTCTTGTGCCGCTCTGTGTATTTTGGCAGAAGGGAAACAGTGATTTGTGTAGTTAGAGGTGCACCCAACCCAAGTGGGTGCTGTTCATTACATCAGAGACAGAGCTAAGAATACGATTTCACGAGATAAAAACCTACCCAACAGTCTTTGAAAAACCCAGATGGTTGTTTAACAACGCTGTTCTGAATGTGTCTCCAGAATCCTCGAAGACTCTGTGACCATCTGGATGGAAAGAAAATATGTTATCTGTTGCACCATAAAAAGATCTTCAACCCAATTTGCATTTCAATTTGCAACTACTTTTCCTAACATTTCGTACATGTCATGAGTCTTTACTCAATACAACCATAATGTTCATCTATTATTTTCTATGTAAGACACATCAAAATAGCAATATAAATCTGTCATTTTGTTTCATGATATACACATTCAGCAAAGACATTCTGGCTACTATCTCTGTTTGATTAGGAATAATAATTGCAACTCTGGAAACAAAATAAGACATATTTTTATGGTGCTGTGGGTGGGATACGTGTTTTTCTAGATGGTTAGAAGACTCTCTAAAGTTTCTGAAAATGTCTTCAGAACTGCAGTAATTCTTCTAAAATGTCTATAAAAGTTTACCAGCTTTTTTAATGTTTTTTAGAAATTGAAACTTTGACTTTAATGTACAATACATAAGAGGCACAAACCTTATCTAAATGACACACACCATCAAACAAAACATAGCTGTAACACACAGCGTGTCGGCTATCTTTTGGGATCCTTGAGGGGCGCTTATTGTGATTGTATGTAGCCTCCTTTATGTGACAAGCCTTTTCTTAATGTGTCGCACTGCAGGTGGGAGATTTAAAGTTTCAGCACAGCTCCTGCATTTGCATTTGACCAACATGGTCTCTACCTCAGACATGTTCGAATGCTCATCAATACTTTTTCAAGAGTTTGCCAAACCTGTCCAATTTGAAATGATAAATTGGCAGCAAATAAGTACAAATTAGAAGTGCATTGGCTTTCAACACCCATGTTCACCTCTGTCAGAGAATGTAATGATTAGTTTAATGAATATTGGAACAGCATAGCCTCTGTCCAAGGTTTGGCTATACGAAGAAAATAAAACACATTAGCTTTGTTTCTGATTCCTTTCCATTTAGTTTGAATGCAGCACCAACAAGGTGTTTGCTTCTAACAACATCAACTAAAAACCAGTTCTTTAAAAATAATGTTTGACAGAAATCACATAGATATGTTTTACTTTCTTACTTTCAGTCGGGTAACAGGAGCTGATAATGAAACACCGTAAAACATTAAACCCTTTGTCTAACAAGTAAGGTGTCCATCAGCCACAGCATGTCAACAATATAATTCACCCCACTGACTATTATAAAGCCAGGTGTATTTCCCTCAGGGGCTAATCATTACCTCTTTCCATTTTACTTCCAAAAAGATTATAGTCACTGACATTCTTCACACCTAAATCGATGAGCATTTCATGTGGATGTATTCTCTACATGATGCCTTTAATGTGCATCTGGCCCTCACAAACAAACAATGCATTCAAACATGTTCTTATGCATCCACTATATCTGTGGTTTGACCTTCCCATATTATTAAATGGATGAGGTTTCACTCAGAAGCCAGAGATACAAATCAATAAAAAACGTATAGAATCTCCATTGTAGGGATGCTGATACAGATAAACTGTCAGGCTAAGATTAAGTAGTGTCTAATATTTTCCTTTTCTATTTCCCTGACATATTTGACAAGTCATATGCATTACATGACATATCACTTGATAGAAGCTTTTATCCAAAGTATTACATACTCAATACTGTGGGCAATCCCCACAGGAGCAATTTGGGGTGAAGTGTCTTGCCCAGGGACACAATGACATGCTGACTGCAGTGGGGTTTGAACCTGTGCTCCCCTGATCCGAACACCAACGCACTAACCCACTGCGCCACACGCCTCCGCCAATCTTTTTTAAAGAATAAGGGATCTGTACAAATCGTTTTTTTAAGTAACCAGTTGTTGATAGTTAAGTTAACCCCTTCGGCACCTTGTACAAGCCAGTACTTTGATTTACGCCCTCAGAGTTGGTATTGTCAGTAACAACCTGGTATTGGTGCGGTGCTGCCGGAGGATACTAGAGTAATGGGCCCACATGTCTGCTGAGATTTTAATGAACATAACTTTGGTTTAATCTTTCCTTGTTCTGTGTTCAAATTGAAATTGATTTTACAATCATTTTTTTTAATCAAAGTTGTTATGTCAGGAACAGGAGAGGCTCAGATGCTGGCCTGTAAAATGTTGGGTATCTTGCCAAATAGGAAATAGTTACCTTCTCTTTCAGCTTTATAAAAGCTGCTACTCATAAATTCATATTTTTAGTATATCCATCTGTGAGATGTGACTCTAAAGCTTTTACTGTAATTGGAATCACTCTCCAAACTATCCCAATGGGAAATGTTTATTGACTTTTCCATACCTGCTTGGTCCCACCTGTCCAGTCTGACAATGCCAAAACATATGTTCAAATCATGATGTCCAGTGTGTGCCTATTAACACAACAAGAGTTTATACACTTTATGCATCATTTAAATAAATAGTTTAACATGCAATTATTTCCCAAAATGTTGACCTTTAATTGTCACTTACACCTGGAGCTCCCATTACAAGACTTTGCCAACGTAGAAACCCTTTGCTATCCACTTTGTGATAAAGCAAACTATTTCTCTAGAAACAAAGCCACACGTTGATCAGTGGTCAGTAGCTTTAACAATATCCTCTCACAGCAGGAAAGCGCCGGTCAGCACAGTGTCAGTGTATAAAACCCAGTCACGCCTGTGTTGAATTTCAAATGTAACAGTCCAGTGATGGTATGAAGAGTACAGGTTTTCCTGATGGGCTCACGACTGTGAACACAGGACTCCTGTGGAGAGTGGAATAATGTCGAATGAGTTGTGCAGCCTCTATTGGCTGTGACTCATAATTGCTAACAAACTCTAATTTAATTCCTTTACTCCTCCATTTATTTCCAACAATCTTTTCACTGTAAATGCAGGGCTGCTGTTAAGACTGTCTGGAGAATGACGAGCATGACAAAAGGTCTGAGTTGTTATGACAGTGGAAATCCTCCATTCCTATTTCATTATTGGTACTAATGCCTGAGGGCTAAAATGAGCAAGAAAACCAAAAGTTTACAGTGCTGTTTCTGATGCACTCATTTGTTCCACCCTAAACATGTTGCTGAAAGCAAGCCACAAAGAGCACTTCAAAGAAACTGATAGAGGCTATATAAAATATTCAACATATGCCTCACAGTTGGCCAAGGTTTTGAGTAGTCTGATATCACCCTATGAACAACTATAACATGTTTTAATGGCATGTGGACCATGTGCATCCCACAGCTGAAGGCTTCCAAAATACACTCGTCAAGTAGAAGTACTGCTCGTTCTTGAATGTACTTTGAGATCACTGGTATGAAAAACATGGACAATTATTCTTGTGACAAAGTGTTCTCAGCGTTCTGGGACAAAGTCAGAGGTGTAGACTCAAATTACCAAACATTCTGTAAGTGGTGGTCAAAAAAACAAATTTCAGTATGCAAGTTCGGACATGAGTGCAAAGACTTTAGATGTACTCGTCATTTGTAAAACAATGACTTGCTCCCACCTCTTACAGGAGTGTAACCTAAAGTGTTTTAATTGCGTTTAGGATGTTGGATGAACTGTTGTGCTGTTTGGAGAGAATTGTCTAAAGGGTTTTGCAATGTGTGAACTCGTTAAGGACAAATATTTGTGTTTCCATTTGTAATCCACTTGTTATATCTCTTTCTATTCAGTTTTTCAGCTAAAATCCTGAAAGTTGGGTAAATAAATTCCACATTGTTATAAATAAAAGTGTTATATGATATAAAAATAAAACAATGACAAAAATAACACTTGCAAAAAAATGGGAAGAGTACCCCCCAGTAAAGTGACCATAAAGTCAGGAGTCACGTCATGCATTATAACATTTCTTCTCAGAGCCACTAACCGAGAAATGTATTATCTCCAAGTGAAGGCAGGACATTATGTCTCGGAGCCACGGACTAAGTGTGGGCGGGGCAGCTTCTTTCCATCTGAGCAAACTACATGTCTCGCCAAGAGTGAGGCTAAAGCAACCATGTGGCGCTCTGCAGATGTCTCCCTTAGTAACGACAAACAGAGCTATCAGAGGCTCTGGAGCTACATCCTACTGTAAGGTGTTTTGAAAGGGTAAGAAAGCCTCCTTCACTTTTGTAAGTGAGGGCACTTAACATGTGTCCGAGGGGTGATATCAGGTAGATGCTAAAACATGAAACCTTGGACATTTGCGCCCTATAAACTACCACCAGGCAGTGTCTGCCACAGAGTGAGGATTGATGTATTGATTTGAGGATTGAATCCATTGTCACTCTCCTTATCATTCCTTCCAGACCACCCCCGTCAGACCCAGGCCCTAAAGCAGGAGTCCAGAGTGGTCATGGGACAGGGGACCGGTTGGCCTCCCACGACACTCATCAGCATGCCGCCCCTCAAGGAGAGCAGGGCCAGGGTCATGTGGCGCGGAAGAGTCTGCATGTGGATGTGGGGAGCAGCAGGACGGGGCGGTCCCCCTCTGTGTCCCCGGACAGAGGCAGCGTTCCCACATCCCCTTACTCTGTGCCACAAATTGCACCTATGCCTAGCAGCAAGCTGTGCCCGGTCTGCAAAACCACCGACCTGACGGGCAGCGGGGACGACAAGCCCACCTACAACACCTGCACTCAGTGCTGCTCCATGGTGTGCAACCAGTGCGGCTTCAACCCCAACCCGCACCTCACAGAGGTAAGTAGAGCGTTCACAAGATGATTGTAGGGACATTCTTCACATTTTCCCAAGTTGCTTTTATTAGTTTTATTTGTCGTTGTCAGGTCACTGGACATTTCTGCTTGCATTTTAGTGTTTTGTATGCCTCTTCTGAAATCTATGTAGAGCTCTTTAGATTGTAAACACTTCATCAATGGTGTCAGACTAATGGAATATATCATGTTACCTTAATCACTGAGTTTTTTAAACCTTTTGCTTTATAAAAACAATACGTCTACATGTAAGGATCTTCAACAGTGTGATCTTGCCACAGCCAGCCCCCAGTACTTGGCAGGTAGCAGGTGCTAATTTCATACCCTGCCTAGTTTCATAGTAGTTTTCGCCACAAACAACCTAATACGTAAATATGATATACATATTATGTGGGAAAGGTCATCAGTATCACTCTGCCCTGAATTACAGACACAGCCAGCATCTGCCATTGTGCATTCATGTGGAAAACAAAAACATTTAAAACACTACCACGAAATGGCAAAAAAACAAACAAAGCTGCTGTACAATTGAGTGCACAAACAGATTCAGAATGAATTCGTATTAAAGACTGCCTGGAGGCAAACAAAGAAAAAGAAGCACTTGGGTGGCTCTATGACGATGATTTACCAACAAATGGTTTTCTGAATGAAACGTTATAAAATCTAAATATTTTACAAACCTATTCACAGACAACCGGGACATTATAAGTCCTTGTGATTGTGATCAGGCAGACGAATCGTGCTTTAGAATAGGAGCAGGCGTTTTTATGTCAGGATTATTTACTTCAACCTTATTTCCCCAATGTGGAGCAACACTCTTGTACAGTATATAAAAACCATGTATATTGACTGTACCGCACATTGTACAGATCTCTGTTTTAAGGCTTGCAGTTTTTAATTGTTGATGTGCTCCCTCCCTACGGTATTACAGCTCTGCCCATTCATAGCATAGCGGATGGTGTTGAGGGAGGCTGTATGAGAAAAAATGACGTCAGAGCCTACCTTACATATTATCTTCATATGAACAGGAAGGTCTCTCAAAGCAAGTGCACATTTAAAAGGATGTGGTTTATTGTGGGGGGATTCAGGTGCTTCAGTTTGTTTTCACTTGTTCAGTGGTAATTATTTTCTCGTTGACATTTGTGAGTAATGTCGTTGATGACTATTGTTGGTTGTGACTGGCTCGCAGGCTGGATCGCACCAACTGGAACTGAGCTGGATGTGAGTTAGTCTCACGTTGATTGAGAACTGTGAACTTTTTGCTCGAGCCATTGTTTGCCTTGATTGATGAAGTGTTTAATGATGTGGTTAGCGCATGATCTCTAATCCCCGAATTAATGGATATCACACAATTCTGTGCCCAGTAACATATTGGTCACTTCATAATAGCTGTAATGAATTGTAGGACCTCATCTTAAAGCAAGGGTTATGTTCTTCTCTCGCTGATGTTCATAGTCAATGCACACAACCCTTAAACAAAGCTCTATCCATCCTTCCTGTCAGGCACTAGTGAGCATCCAAATCATGCCCAGAGCCTCTCCAAAGCAAAGCTTTTTATAACGCAGCCAAACGCACCACATCCCCCCATCGTTCACAATCATTCACATGCACCTAAACAGTCATCACCATTAACAGGTAGCTATTGCCTTCATCCTAAAATAAATGACTTCCCTAATTTGAATTAGTCTATGCTTCACTGTTACTGTGACTCAAGTGCGGCTGTGTCATCCGTCACAAAGTTTCACATCAACTCCAGTGAGTCATGTTGCAAATTGTAGCCAATATGCAATGTCAGTTAAGCTGGCCTGCAGGCTATCAGAGCAACTGTAGACTGAATTCATACCAGGATTCAGGGAGCACATGTTAACACATGTTTTGTGGATGCATGTTTTTGTATGTAAGTGTGTGTTTGTATGCTTAAATACAGGCTGTGTATAAGAATGGAGACTTTGCAAGGTTGCGTTAGATGTAAGGACTAGAAAGAATAGCGCGGACCAAAGCGGAGACAGACTGCAGATGATAGATCGTGAAAGGGAGCATGGCAGTAAAGGGAACGGCGGAGGTGGATCTTATGTTTTTTTCCAGCTCAGCCTTGGTGAGCTTGTCAGATGCTGGCAGGGAGAGAGACTCTGAGGGAAAGCGTTCAGCCTCTGGAGACCTGAAGATTTACCCCCATAACCTACTTAGCATGGATTGGGCTCTTGCCTCACTGCAGCAGATCTAACACGGCCTTATCACTCAGCAGTGAAACTGATGATGGCCACATTGTTGCTGATCAAGGTGACGATAACGTTGAAGAAGACGATGACTGGAATTAAAGTCACTCTGATGGTGAGGACAAGAAGAGAGAAGCAAGCTAAGAAAGTTTAAGTGAAAGTGTCTGTTCTAAGCAGGATCAGATGTTGTTTTACTTGTGTGTTTACGTGGAGACAGACTTTCAGGATTTTCAAGGATTACACTTTTTTTTGTGGTGTTTTTTTGTGAAAAATCACCTGTTGCATTTTCTATTAACGACGGTATCCTATTGAAATCAGTTGAATGATTGTCTCCTGATTAAAACAAGGGCTCAGTTCTCTTTGTCAGCTACATTACAAATAGTTTACAGACACTGATTGAACTGTGCCGAATTACAGAGATAATATGAGTAAAATCTGTTACTGAAGAGGATTTCCCTTCAAATAACAGAAAGATGGCAGTGCTGATTAAAATGTTCATAACCGAGGGCGATTTCCATTTTTGAATATTTTAGATTATGCTCATTCACCACAAAGTCCCAAATGAATCTCCAGCTTTGCATCAAAAGTATAAATTCGATTTTTTTTTTCCCCCCTCTTTTTTACATTTAGCAAGAAGGCGATTCACAGTGGGATTTGTCATGTAACAGAATCATGTAACATTGTGTGAGTAATGACAACAGATGTTGAAATACAAGTTGATGCCGTGTTAAACTACCTGATAAGGGAATGCAATTTAAAGAGATGTAAACAATGAGCAACACATGGGTGTTGTGCCACAGTATGTTACAGGGCTGTCAGTAAACCTGAGTTGATGAGATTTATTTAGACATGTTGGCTCTGAGCGTGCAAGCAATCAAACACGTCATCTTGTGCGTTGGGTGCGGATGATGTAGAAGACAGAAAGGTGGGGTTTAATTAAAGACTTTGTGATCAAAGAGGGGAGGAGAAGTAGGAGAAGCAGGACTGACAGGGATAGACTTGGAGACAGAGAATAACATAACAGAGAATAAGGGCTCAGAGAGAAAGTGAACGCACCCCAACAGTGTTCTCCCACCATCATACCGGGGAACATCTGCTTTATAATTGGTCCAATTTCTATTTATAGATTGTACCCTCCTCCTGTCTGCAACAATGGCTTGGTCCTGTGAAGCCACAGCTGAGAGGGAGAGAGGGAGAGAGACAGAGAGAGAAAGAGAGGGATAGCTGTGTGGTCGCAGAGGGATACAGAATAAAAGAGCAAAGGCACCATCATAAATGAACTATAATAGTTGAGAGTATTCACGCGTTGCAACACTAAATGATTCAGCCCCAATACAAAAATACAGAAATAAATCAAAGAAATATTCTGGGGCAATTTTGAGAAGAAAGGGTTTCTCTTTGCAGTTTGATTTGCTTCTCCACGATGAAGGCATCTGCATTGCAAAAGCACACTGCAGATGGATTTAAAAAACGATTTTAACTTCTTATTAGTTTTTTTTTAAAAGTGCCTTCAAACTGCTTCTTTTATCCAGAAATCCCACAAGACTAGTTTTCAACAAATGCTCCCACACAAAATACTCTTTTTATATATCTGCCTCCCCGATCAAAATACATTTCTATCAGTTATGTGGTCACTGTTTATTTTACTCCAACATACACTATTTTACATTTGAAAATTCCAAGGTATACTTCAGTCCAAAAACAAATTCGTATTTTGTTGTTCAAGCTTTATTTATTTATCTTTTTTTTTATGACAAACATAACTTTTGAATGTGAAAGGGGCTGCTCTTAGTTATGACAAATCATTCTCACCCGACTCAGCCGTTCTCCTCAGATGTACAGAGCATTTTAGCGCCTTTCAGCTAATTGTTTTTGTTTTAATGGTCCGCAACTTTAATAATGTCTAGCTGGTGAACATAGTGGAGCGTTTAGCAGCTAAAGAGATAGAGTGCACGTTAGAGCTACATTTGACAGGTGGTCAGACATGCTATTCGACATAATGCAAATGTTGTTCTGTGTCTACTCGACGCGTTCTTCGGCATCAGTTTGCTTAAATGTTTGCCACAACAACTTGAGGTACAATTAGGTGATATGATGCCAAACTATGTGTTTACAGTTGTGCTCCCAAGGTGCAGCTTTAAGCTTGTATAAATTGAATTGAGTGTAGTCCATACATAATTTTCCACTTGCACTCTTTTAGCCATGACTAGAATCTACTGTGAGTCATTCTGTCAGCCAGTTAATCTACGCTTCAGCCCTCTCCTTCCTGCAAATGCCCAGCTGTGGGATGCAGGCTTCACGTACGACACTACTCAGTATCTCCGATAGAGACGCTGGTGCTTTAGCTGACTTGGATGTTAACGTTACCCAAAGTTAATGTTCTCAAGCAGCTAGAGTAACACCAACCTGGGAGAATGGGCTGTCCATAGCATCAGAAATGAACCGTCATTATTTCAAAGGGTTTTTGAAAGCAACTTGTTGGTTGTAAGTGTCTGAGGTACATTTTTGATCTAATGTTGAACTTAAACTCTTCAAGACCTTAGTGCTTGCTACAAAGTGAGAGTTCCTTGAGTTTTATTGCATGCATATTGTTTATTCATGTGACCACATTAACACAACATTATCAGTTGTCTAATATCTTTAGAGGGTTATCAAATAATATGTGAAAAATAAATAGAAATAAATATTAACAAAAATAATGTTGTCATATCATTGAAGGATAAGTCCATTACGCCTCAAGGGAGGAAGAGCCTGGTTCCTAATCCCCTCA